TTGTTTTCTCCTTTTTATTTTCCTAAATATCATAAATTAAGTAATATTTGTAGTTTTGTATGTACTATTTTGTGTGAAATGAATGAAAATAGGGTAGCTTTTCAACTTAAAAAGTTAATATTTCTAACTTCAGAATGGAAATCTATTTTTTTCACGCATGTTCAAAACTGAATTGAATCTTGATAATTATTATTGATGATATGAATATCATTGTGCACACATATTGAATAATCACCCGTAAGATGATATAAAGTTTGGGAAAATAAAAAAGAGAATGGAAAATGATGAAAACCTCATGATTTCGAGAAAAAACAGTTAAAGAATAATGACCACACCTTATTTATAGGATGTTCATCAATGGTATACGACCTTTCTCGAATTTCTGGACAAACATATATTTGTATCAGTAATGAATGGTATGATGTTAAAAGGAGAAATAATTATCATCACGGATACACTTCACATTTTAACATGAATATCATATGGGTATTTCAAAACCAAAAGTTCGTGCAACGCAATCTGTATAATGGCCGAACATTAAAGAAGATATAGATAAGATACGTTTAAGATGTGATAAATGCAATAAGTTCAAACGTAAAAATCAACGTGAACCGTTGAAGCAGCTGTGCAATTCTATGGCCGTAACAAGTACGGAAGTACTAGTAATAATTGGATCAATATACACCATATTGAACAAATTTTTTTTAGCAGAAACGGTTGCTGAGACATTACATTTTAAACCTCATCCAAAATGTTTTTCATATAAGTGTTTATGTTTTTAGGTCATTTGTGAGAATGTCGACCTGACTAACATATTGATGGCGACTTTTTAGTTTGATCGATAACTTTAGATACAATAACGAACGTATACCGGTATACTAAATTTATTCGATGTACCTTAGACTTTTGCCAAACTATTTGTGTCAATATTACACTTACATTAGCTGATTAAACGTGACTGACCATTTTACGAGGTAATGTCGAATTCGTGAATGATGCACCGAAGAAACCCTGGTAACCTCATTAAAAGTAACTGAATCTTATTTTACCTGCTTCCTTCTATAGTGTTATACGACACTTGTAGCTTGGTAAATGTCTAAGGTATGCTGAATATTAATTTAAAACACAGGAGTCGCCTTCAAAACGGTAGTCAGGTCGTCATTCTCACGAATGATCTAAAAAAGGAAACCATATGCCTGGAAAAAATTGTAATGCTGGTTGAAGTATAATGTCGTAGCAGCCGGTATAAGCTAATACAATTCTTTAAATTTTATTCAGTATATAAAAATATTTTGGTCCGTTTTACTTACCGTGTAACCCGGTTTTATCACAAATTTTGCGTTACTTTTGCATTATTTCCACATGCCTGCGTTATAGCTGGGTATACACGGTGTAGAAAAGCATTAAAGTACAGACAGTTCAATATAAATCACCGTAATGAACATGCACTGATATTACAAGTATTCATTGATTAACATGTTTGCAATTCTTTTGACAAGACTTAAGATGTCCTATATAAAAAGTTTATTAAGGTCATAATTTGATCTTTGGAGAAGAAAAAAATATTGATTTACTTTTACCAAAATATATCAAATATCCGGAAAAAGTCTGCAAACATACCACGAGATCATAACTTTATATAACCTGGGGACAATATTTTTGTTCTCAGTTACGACCAAACAAGTGTGTGTTACATTGGTTTATAAGTTCAACGACATACTGTCACCATTTATTTAAAGGAGTACAGATATAACATTTGAAATTCTTGCTGGGACACATGAATGAAATGGAATATATGTAAATAAAAAGGTTTGAGTACCGCTCAAGCCGGTGCTAGGGGGCGTGAGGGATGTTGCACGTATTTATTATCCCTCATGTACAGATTCAATCAAACCGAGTCTGCAATTCTCTTGTAATTTTGTTGTGATTTATGCTTCCGAGGGATCACTTTGTTTCCAGATTTTTAGAATAAGATTGAAATTCATATATGTGTGCGATTCTCAGACCAATTTTTGAGTTAAAAACGTTTAAACGCTTTGTTTTTCGTTTACGGCCATTTTCTACAATGAGAATAAATGTTCTATAATAATATATTATCAATTATTATATTACAATAAGGGAGTAATTTTCATACAAGACATTAGTCCAGACCTCATCAAATAGAATACAAATCTTGAAGAAATATATCTAGCCCCGTCATGCTTAAAAAACAATAACAAAGAAACAAATAAACAATATTTAAAGAAATAATCATAAAACAACATCACCAAAAACCAATGGAATGCGCTTAACAAATCCTAATTGTTCATGCTTACATATAAACAATAACTAACTATTTTGATTTACAGTCGATTGATTTACCAAGGACTGTTGATTAACGCTGATTTACTTATGCATTTATGTTATGATTCATTTGAAATACTACATGCTGCATGTCCTATTGGACAAAAATAATATTTTCATTACTAGCACTAACTTTAACTTATATATTTATCCAGGCTCTTTTGTTAATACGTATAGAAGTATTCCATCAATAGCCATACAAACTTTCGGACAGATCGAATGTATTCATCTTCCGGAAAAGATGGAATTATTGAACGTTCATACGTTTAATAAGTTTTTGCTTTATGTTCTCTTTTTTATCACACACCCGTGCCGATTTTGCGACTCCGTAAATATGGTATTGCACGGCCGTGCATATATTTTGACGTGACGTCATAAGAGTTATACAAACATAGTGTAAAGACGCGCTAAATGTTAGCGTTATACGAAAGGCGCGTCAATGAAACATGACTCTTTTTCACTTTAAACGGTCTTTATTTTTGGTATGTGATAAATAGAATATTAAATTCGTGTAAGTTCATTACTGAATTTATTGCACTCGTTGAATAAAATAATATTATGCTCGCCAGAGGCTCGCATAATATAATTTTATTCAACTCGTGCAATAAATTTAGTATTGAACTTTCACTCATACAATATCCTCTATTTATCCTATAAAATTTGGTAAGTATAAATCCCCGTGCTTAAATTTAGGATTGATCTTAATATGCATCTTAAATATGGTGTTTACTTTGAAGAATAAATTGTGTAAAAATTCCACATACACCCTAAAGTGTATTTTTATGCTTTGACACAATGTGGCGGATTTCCATTTTACTACAGTATTGTTTATAAATTCGTATGAGTTTGATTTTGAAAATACATTTACGACGGTTGTCCAAAAAAATGTGCACTGCAGTTATTGTTGTGAGAATAATTGATAAAAAACATGAATTATATATCACTTGAAGGGAAAAAACTCAAATAAGAAAACAAAATAAAAAGCCGTGTAACTGGCGTGTCGTGAAAAGAATTGACATACAGTTACCTTAGTAACGTAATACCGGCGCACGACAAAAAAATGGGTTAGTTCATTACTGTGATTGTTTTATTTTTTGTTGCTTGTAAAGTGGCATTTGCTTTTATGTCATGATGTGTTTTTCTGTAAATAGAGAAATGATTGATGCAAATTATGTAGTTTTTATTGTTCTTATGCAACGTACATTTAATATATTCCACCAGTACACGAACATATTGGACAACCTTCGTCACATGCGCCGACATTACGGACGGACGTCTGCCTGACCGGTTGTCATCGTCTACCGACTCTCGCCCCTCTACAAAGCGTTTGTGCCATTTAAAAACCAGCCTTCGTGACACTGAACTGGTCCCACTTGCCCTTTTAAGTTCTTTGTAGGTATCTGTCGGTGTTTTACCAATACTTGCGCAAAATTTAATGATCGTCCGTACATCCAGACGACTGACATTTTCACGTAATGATAGTATTGACGACCACACAGAAATGCTTGTTGATACAAAGATGAATGATGCTAATGGAAAAATGCTTATTTCAATGACGAAAGATCATGATATGTAAGCATAACTTACAAGAAATTCCAAAAAATAATAAATGAATAAATGAGCCGTGCCATGGCAAAACCAACATAGTGGGTTTGCGACCAGCATGGATCCAGTTCGCTTTTATTTTGTCTACTTGTAATAGGGTTTGTAAGCGAACAGCATGGATCCTGATCAGACTGTGCGGATGCGCAGACTGGTCTGGATCCATGCTGGTCGCAAACGTACTATGTTGATTTTGTCATGGCACGGCTCAAATGTTTTTTTTTCTACAATTTGACATCGCTGCCTAGTGTTTGGCATGTAATGATCAATATCCAAATACTGCCTAGCTTTCTGTATTAGTAACAACCTGACCATGTTTTATTAAGACAGACATAAAAGTGTGGTCTCTAGAGTTCACAGCCTTTCTGTTATGGGAGAGCTGAAAAATAACATCTTAACAATCTTCAAACCTTACTTATCTGAGCCCTGTTAAGTGAAAAAGCGAAGCAAATAAATTAAAGTGTTTGTGATACCAATCAAAAATCAAAAATACGTTTTGATTTAAGATTTTTAAAAGATAAATTTATATAAACATCTTGGCCATTATGCATTTATAAAGTGAATATTACTGAATACACATTTAAAAATAACAGAAGAGCTGAAACATGAAGAGGAGTGTGTTGATATTATTTCTTACATATTTGTATGATGTCCTTCTAAAATGACACATAACCTTTTAAGTAATAGTTTTATTGACCGACTTCAAAAAAATTCAGAAATTAAGTGCGTGTGGCATATTACCAATCAAAGTCTTCATGACAAAACAACTTGGCTACAATTTACAATGATTTTTTTCCTAAAAATCAAACAGTGTTCATGGAAAAACATTTTGGCTAAAATTTACTATGATTTCCTTTCAAAACTCAAAAAATATTGACATAACTAAGTGTTCATATAAAGTCAATTTGGTTTAATTATTTTACGACATCAAGAACTAAAAATAGTAAAATATCACACAATACACATCATCTTGTCAATCATTGTTAATACCAAATATTAATCAACATGATTATATGTCTTTTTTAACAGCTTCTTTCAGAATATTTATAAGTAAATTAACACTTTCCATCTTCTCTTTCTGTCTTCTTTCTGCTGCTTCCTCTCTTAACATCATCCAAAAAGTCTTTCATGACCTCGACGGAACGTTTAGCTTTTTTTCCTCCTGTGGACCCTCTACAAAGACATATTTAAATCAGGTAAAACATGCATAGGCATTTATAAAGCATAATCATCAAGGTGGGCAGTTGTGGTCTAGCAGTACAATGTTTGTGATCACGAGGTCCACAGTCCCCTGCTTTAGACGCCTTTAATTTCCTTGTGCATGAAATCAATTTCAAATTGCTCCACTCCATGCTATACTCATATAAGATAACAATGTAAACTGAAGTAAAAAGGAAAATTTAAATGTTCATGAAATAAGTTTAGGTATTACAATGCAGTATGGTATTCAGTGAAGATAATAATACTGTTTATTGAAAATATCAGACTTTATTACATATTTATATGGTCAACTTGCATTACTGAAGAATGCATACCACTCATCTGTTCATCTTTGCTACAAGATGGAAATGATGCTCTTGAATGGCTTCTTTTTGGGCCGGAATTTTGAACAGATTTTTTCATACCAGAACCATGCAACTGCCCAAAAAGAAGCCATTAATTATTAACTTTAGATCATTCTTCCATTTAAGCAGGAATAACGTTTGTCTTGATTACAAAAGGACATTTCCGATTGAAACGGTTTCATATGGCGTAGTTACAGTAGCATTCACCACTTTAAAAACTCCTGACTGCTGGTGAGTAGTACATCTTTAATCCTTCCGCCAATATTTTATAGTTTTGATCACTTTGGTGTTGGTTACAATAAAATAGTGAACTTAAAAAGAAAAAGAAATAAATAAATAAAAGTAAATAAATTAAATGTAGCAGGTCACCATCCAAGGCCCATAAATAATATATTTATTTTGACTAAGTAATGGGAGCATACTGTGATAGGGCTGATCAGTATGTACGTACTAAAGGCCTGTTATCCTTGTTCATACGATAACTGAAGAAGGCACAGAAGTGTATGTGTTTGTTCACTTAGGTCTGTGCTTACACGCCGTGCATATCTAGTAACGCAGGAATGTGCAAATAACGTAAAAGTTACGCCGAATCTGTGCAGCGATATTGCCAAAACGCATACCACTGTAAGTAAACGAACCAAAATATTGTTGTTGTTTTTTTCTAAATCAAATTTAAAGAAATGAATTAGCGAATACGGCTGCTACGACATAATACTTTAACCAGCATTACATTTTGTTTCAGAAATATGTTTACTTCTTTTGATCATTCGCGAGAAAGACAACCTGATTACCATTTTGAAGGTGACTTTTGTGTTTCGTCAAATAAATATAAACATTTAACACATTTAAAACTCTTTTTTCATAGTCTGTATACCTAAGACATTTGTCAAACTACAAGTGTGTGGTATAACACTAGAAGGAAGCTGGTAAAATAATATTTAGCTACTTTTAATGAGATAACCACCGTTTCTCCGGTGCTTCATTCACGAATTTGTCGTTACCTCGTAAAAAATGTTCTCAATTACGTTTTATCTGCTAAATTAAGTGTTATATGACACGAGTAGATTGGAAAATGTCTCAGGTACCCCGAATATTAAATCATAAAGTTATATGTACGTTATTGTATTTAATTAAAGATATCAACAAAGCCAAAAATCGCCATTAATACGCTAGTCAGGTCGTAATTTTCACGATTTTCATGGAAATAATTTTGATGAGGTTTAAAGAATAATGTCTCAGCAACCGTATGCGTCATCTCTTCCAACTTGGTGTATAATAAAAAGTATTGGTCCATTTACTTATCGCAGAGCTCGTTTAGGCCACTAAATTGCACACTTCTTTGTTACTTTTGCACAATCCCTATGTTATTTGCACCTTCCTGCGTTACTGGATATACACGGTGTTACAACAGAAAATAGAATTTACAGTGTTTTTTTGTGAAATGTGTGAATGGAGTTACAGTAGGTTTTATTTGACACCGTGCAATATGTACAGTAGGGCATTTGATTAAATGAAATTTTCATCACTTGTCCGTATTATACGTACACTAATTAAATTTGATTATTTGTTTGCTGTTTTTTCGCCAACAGTCAAAACTAGTCGTCTGTTGGCACTAAAATATTTGCACGTTCTTCTCGAGAGGCGAGTGTAGAACGTGTCGTACAGTCGTCATATGACCTAAATTGATGATCCGGTAATTTCTGAACATTTATATATAATATTTAATAATTTCCTGTTGAGTTTTATATTTGATAGAATAGTACCTATCCTTTAATATCAGTTAATAATTTATAATTATTTTAGCAAATATATAGTTTTCTTGACTTAATGTTGTACATTTGCTTACGTATTAAAAAAAATTGTAAATATTATGGTTAAAGGGAGGTAATAGTATACAAAAAATACAGGCTGATTCGCTGTTCAAAGCGCAACGGCCATGCGAACGCTGCGCATTCAAAATTTTTACGAGTCATTGCACAGTGTACAGTACTTTAGTAATGATAATTTGATTGAGAAATATGACATAAAGAACAAAACGCAATTCATAATCTATTATTATTCAGAATACAAATGTTTTAATGAAATTGTTGTTAATCTATTCTTTATTTTGGTTTACAAATGTAGATCTACTGATTAATGTAAGAACAATGTAGGATTCAAACGTATTGTTAAGCATATTAATTAATTAACTATTTAGGATACTTATAACAAACAATTTAAAGATACATCTTAGAGTAAAATATTTTTGTCTCACAAAAAATTAATTAAAAATCTAGGTTATTCCTTCTGAATATGTCTAATTTTGATCAAAGAATGTACAAACTACATGTGTGTGAAGCTGCATCTCCTATAACAGGTCAAGTAATGTACGTTGGTCTCAGTTTTTTAAGGACACGTGTCGACCTATAGTGTGTAGAGTTTAAAACATAAGATATCTACTTATAGTCTAGTCAATATTAGTGAGTAGTCAAAACATGTTAATTCTATATTTACAAAGAGACTTTGTAGAAATTATTTACATTTAAAAATATGATATTTGAGCATAGTATATCTTTAAGATTCAAAAGTATTGATCAACAGTTACTAATGAGCACTTTAAAAAAACATTTATTTATTAAAAAAGTGAGGATACAAATGTATTGACTGGCTTATAGTACATCAATGTATTGATTTATTTACTGCGATTTAATAATTTATTGTCTTTATTAACTAATGAACGATTTATGAAATATATCTTTTGATTTTCTGAGAATTTATGAAACAAATGTATTGATAAATTTACTGGAGCTATTATTCATTTAGAGTTAATTTAGGATATAAATAGATTAGATCTAATCTGATTAAGCTATGACGATTAAAGAATTCATTTCTGAGAATTTAAAATACAAATGTATAGATTTATTTTTCTTATGATTAAGGACACATTCAATTTATTCTCGTTACAAATTTTTTGTTCTTTATAAAAACTCCTGATAAAGGAATTAATTCACTATATGCGTACAAGGAACTCCTGATATGATTATCCCAGTAAGTTAGCTATAAGCAGGGTTTACTGTATATGCATCTGTCACGTGATACACATTATCAAACAGATCGGACAAGATTTACACCAGATTCAACAGCAATCACCAATGTCATCCACATCATCGTCACAAAAATCCCGATCACGTCTATCATCATCAAAATGACTTACCTCATCCTAGTCATCATAAAAGTAATAATGATTTTCTTGAACTTTAACACCATAATCATCATCAAAATCATAAGTTTCATCATCATCTCTCATAATCATCATCAGAATTATTATAATCATTATCATTTCTAATATCTTTTATTGATGATAATAATGATGATGATGATGATATTAACGGACTTACAATGATGATGATAATTTTACTTTTAAAAATGATGATGATAACAATTGAACAGTTGATAATGATAATGTTCTAATGATGATGCACAGATGATGATTATACTGGTGATAATGGCGATAGATTGTTGTTGTTGTTGGTGATGATTTTCTGATGTCAATTATTTACTCTTTGTGATTATAGCGATGATGATAATGATAATGATGATAATGATGTACAGTTGAGGATTATAGTGATGATGATGATGATGATGATGGTGGTGGTGATGGTGATGGTTGTGATGTCTGGTGTTGTTGTTTTTGTTGAAGATGATGATAATGATGTACACATGATGATGATGTACTGCTGATGATTGTAGTGATGATGATGATGATAATAATGGCGGTGGTGGTGGTGGTTGCTATGAGCTGTTGTTCTTGTTGTTGTTGATGATGATGATAATGACGTACTCATGATGATGATGTACTGCTGATGATTGTAATAATGATAATGACAATAGACAAATTTTTGTTGCTGATGATGATGATGATGATAATGATGATGATGATGATGATGTTCTCATACTGATTACTAAAACAGAAATTTGCATTCCATTGCTGAATACTGAAGCATTTTGAATTGGGGGTTTATTATTACAGGTAGTAAGACAAAAAAACTTTTATCCAACGTTGACTGATTTTATCGGTAGCTTGAAATAAAACTTCTTTTATCTTATCATTTTTTAAATAACTGATTAAACTCTCTTGTAACTTAAATGTTTACAAGGTTAGCTTTTAAAAAAGCTAGTAGCGACTCGCTTCGTATTTTTTTTCCAGGGGTGCGTTTAAATGTAAAAATGATAGTTCTGTTAGCTGAAGAGACTTCAGCGAACATCAAAATAAAAGTGAAATAAAGTTATGGAAGCCAGTTCTCTAAGTTCAACAAAGAGGAATATGAGTATATATGAAGATGCATGTAAACAGATAGAATGAAGTTCTTATGTCTATGCACATTTACTATATGGCCTGTTGACCTTGACCAGAAAAATCTTAGATAGGTAGAATTCATAAAGATGTCTCTTTATACGAAGTTAAGTTGTAATGTGTTATTTAGTATTGGAATGAGTGACAGACACATCTGCAAGTCCTAAAGTAAACACAAGTAGTCAGAAAAGCCGGGATCCTATTAACAAAAAATATAGGTATCCAAGATTTTGACCAGTCTAAGATGTTTTTCAGATAAGCCGGGATCCTATTAAAACATATAGGGATCCTGGGAATTGACCAGTTCAAGAATATAGTTTTCAGAAAAGCCGGGATCGTATTAAAATATAAAGAGATCCAAGGAATTGGCCAGTTCAAGAATATAGTTTTCAGAAAAGCTGGGATCGCATTAAGACATAAAGGGATCCCGGGATTTGACCAATTCAAGAATGTAGTCTTTGATTTTTCCAATTAATTAGGCATATAATTATTGAGATTTCCGCATTTTAAGTTTGTTAATAAATACCTCTAAATATATTTATATCTTAAGTTTGATTGATTTAACGTACATACAATAAAAATTTAACGTTTAATGTCCTTTAATTACGACAATAATCAACACAAATATAGTTTATTAGTTTTACCTCTATATCTTACACGATCCCGGATCCCGGACCCCGGCCAGTAAATATATACACTAAATACCGATAATTGATAAAAGGAAAAAGAAAAAAAAATGCACAGAACCAGATGTACACTTATGTTAATTAACCAAACGAAAACTTACTACAGAGGAACAGGTGATATCGCTAAAACAAAAGTCAGTGTAAATATGATTTTTTGAAAAGAATTCATGAAAACAAACATTTTAATCATCATTATATCTTTGCGCTCAAAATAATACTTGCTGCTTTTTAAAAATGGCGTGAAAATTGAAGGTTTTTTGACGCTATGTAAGATTAAATTTGATTGGCTAAATAGTTTTGGATCCTAGCCCTGATAGATAAATTCTGTAGAAAGCTGGAAGCCAAGCTGCGATTAAATTTTTGGATGCATTCGGGGTTTTAGGTTGTTTTTCAGTAAAATCCTAACGTAATACCGGCGAGCCGGCAATAAGATATTATGCACCAAACAATACATAATTAATAGTAAGTACGAGCACGTTAGTAAGTAAGTAAGTAAGTAAGTAAGTAAGTAAGTAAGTAAGTAAGTAAGTAAGTAAGTAGGTAAGTAAGTAGGTAAGTAGGTAAGTAGGTAAGTTAAGGTAAGGTAAGGTATGGTATGGTAAGGTAAGGTAAGATAAGATAAGGTAAGGTAAGGTAAGGTAAGGTAAGGTAAGGTAAGGTAAGGTAAGGTAAGGTAAGGTAAGGCAAGGCAAGGCAAGGTAAAGTAAGTAAAGTAAAAAAGTAAACAAGTAAGCAAGCAAGGACTTTATTTAACTCGGCTTACACATTCGGTTTCCCGATCTTCCATGTGAGCCTCAGCTGATGTACACAACATATTTAACATATATTAACATGTACTTAACATAAACACATGTAACACATATATACACAAATGTCAAATTAAAATAGATCAATTAAATTGAAATAATGAGTAATTTATGGTATGATAATAATGATATGATTGTACACCAATAACAGAGAAAATAATATAATAAGTTATATAATATAATAACTTCCAACTACAGTATTGTTTCTGGTGTTAATTTTATTAGTTTATTAGTTCATTTATAAGTCGGCATGCTCATCGTCACTCTAAACCAATTAAACTTGTTCATAGTTTAAACAATGCAAGTATGAAAATCCAAAATTAAAAAGTGCTTTGGGCTTTGTAGGTTGAATTTGTATTTTTAGGTTTTTAGGTTTTTTTAGAATTCAATGGAGTGGTTTAAAATCCAATGCTGTGAACATATCACTTATAACAATTCCAGCATATCTCCCATCCTAAAACTACTAAGGTGTACGTGTTACTGCTGTCAAGTTCACTTTATGCTTTTTTGTCTTTAATCGGCTATTTTCTCGTGTCAACTTTTAACATCTTTTCTGTTTAGTATCCATAACTCGACACCAGACATTGGTGAGTCATATGCGCAAAGGCAACCACTTTATGTAGAACACGACACGATCATGGGTATGCAACGGCGTCATGTTAAAAACGGGTTTTGTTTGTTAAATTTAACGTCATGTGTACAAAATTTGGCTGAAACTATTGCAATAAGATAACAGAAGCTAAACCCAATCATGATTTACTTTTCATTTGCTAATTTTCAAGATGCAACTGTACAGTCCAAGTAAAACAGAGACAAGTCAAACAGAAAAAGTGAACTATGCTTTAGGTTAGTTCTATTGTTGAATAGAATTTTTTAATGATTGACCTCTAAACAGTTAGTTAAGATCAAAACTGCTAAACCAGTTTATAAGTTTTTTTCACAAATAAAATAACATTCAGCGGAACAATAACAATTGTCCCACTTAAAATCTAGAGTAGCACTCATGCGCAAACAGTTTTTATCTTCCGCATCTGTAGGGTATGTTAAAGCCCAAAAATCGTTTGACATAGGGACATAGTCTCCAAGGATGAACCTCCATGGCCCTTCGTCATCGTCCGAAAAGTAAGTATTGCGCCCATCCACATAATAGTCTGTTGACCCGAGATATCCTGTAATGTACGAGTCATATTTGCATACTAGTCTGAAATTTAAAGTTACTTATCCTCTTTCTTTTAAAAATATAAGAATATTAGTTATTAAAATAAAATACATTCTTAAGTTATTAAAGGCTTTTTTAAAGCATTCAACCAACTGCAATGGCCTTGCACTGCTTTAAATTAGGAACAGTTCATTCAAAAGAATTTATTGGATTTTGATATAAAAATACAAAATTTGAGCTACCAACAGTATAGAGCCTAGTGGTGCTGTATGAAAAAAAAACTAACAATTTCTAATAACAGTGCAATATGAATGCACGAATTTGCTAGTTGGTCTGGCACTATACATTTCCACCAATTTTATAAATGCCAATGAATGGACTGTTTGTTTTATTTATTTTAGTGTACATATTTATTTTTATATTGTGATAAAACTTTACCTGGGCAATCATGTATAAGGCCTAGAAGCATGACCATTTCCGGAACTGTTTTTATACGTGCGAGATATGCCCCTTCAGCTTCACATGCCGTACGTGCGCCACTCTGAGTCTTCAGGGCTTTCACTACCCTGCGAAAGAGATTGAGAAACATTTTCCAGCGGCAGTGGGAGGGACGTTGATTTTATCAATGTTTTTTTGTCAAGTGATTAAATAATATTATACATTTTGATGCTAGTTTTGATTCTAATATACAATTAATGGGTATGTAATATACAAAACTGCCAGAACAATGGAATGGCGTCATAGTCGTAAATAAGATTGTTTAAGAGCTTTATATAAACTTTCGAAATATTATGGAACAGAAAAAGACAAGAGTAACAAAGAATGTCAGCATTCCATTGCTGTAGAGAAGATTATTTTAGAATAATTAATCTTTCACAGTCAAAGTGTCAGATAGCCTTTGATCGATGGCATATAATCAACAATAAGTACATAGTATGGTTATAATTCATGATAGAAGTAAAACGCTCATAATACTCGATAAAAAAAACAAAATTGCACAGATCATATACAGTTCAATCTCATCAGATCGACCAACGTTGGGAGACACACATTTTGTTTAGTGTTTACTACTAGGACGTGTTGCTTTGGAGAGTTTAATTTTACTATTTGTCTTATTGTTGTTAAAAAGATACTGTCGTTGTTAAGAGGTAATTGTTATACAGAGGACCGCTATGTAGGGGTTATATTGTGGTACGCCGGTATAGACTGTCATTTTGTTTAACCGTATATAATTTTGATTTTGTAAATGAATTAATAAATAGAAAGACTTCTTTAAGATATGTTATGCACAATATTATACAATTATTGAGTAGTGTGCCATTGAATATGATGTGATATTCACCGGCAGGTGACATATTGACCGAGGCGACATCTGATCTACGTGAGAAAGTCAAAGTTTGTGTTGTTAGGCTTTAAGACCTCGTTGGAGCTTCTTTAACTGTAAAACACATTGTAAATATGCATTCTTTAAATGCCGATTAAGGAATTCAAAAATGTCATTTGTCATGCGTGTAATGCAAAGGGACACATAAAAAAGTATTTGCCTAAAAGCACGTGTACAAGGCTGACCTATCATGGACGACGACGACGTTCCACTGCAGATTATTAAATCTCTGACCAATGGTTCAAGCATAGAAATCATATCACACGGATCATCTGTTTCTGTTATGTCAAGAGGAGAGTTCCACAAGAGTTTTGGCAAGGGTTCATTCGATATACCGGCATCAGTGTGAAGAAATACAGCAAGTAGGAACGAAAGTGGTAAATGTTAGCTACAATAGACAGCCATAATCGCCGACACTGGGCATTGTCATGGGTAATGGTTCTGCGTTGTTTGGACGAGACTGAAGGAGTGTAATTACATTGGACAAGTCACGTATTGTACATAATAATTCAATTGATGTCTAATCAACACAGAAAATGACTTTGAAACTTTTAGGCATTGTTAGCCATTATTACTAAAATAAACGCATCAGAAAGGGCTACGCATATTGTGACCGTTGTTAAATGTTCGGAAGGAAAACGCGGAGACTACAAAAACATTGTTAATCAGTCAATCAATTTCTGAGACTACAAGATATTTTTACGAAATTGTCAAATGTAAAGAAATATTCAAAGTTATATTTACGCCATAACATTAGTTGGAGTGCGATGACAAAAAAAGTTAACTGACATATAGAATATCATCAGCACTTGCAATGTTGCAAAGAAACTATTGATCAAATTCTTCAGGTGATACCAGACGTACAGTAGTATGTTCTCGACGATATGGTCGTTACAGGAAGAGATGACATGGTGAGACAATTTCAGAGCTGTTGTATGTAGAAAAAGTTCAACTTCACCAGCTTATTTGGCACGCATGCACAAAAACTTCGAAGGTCCATTTCCAGGAAATCATTATGTTCTAATTTATAGTTTGTGCTCGGGGCAAATAGGCTGAAACTGTACATCTGCCAAACAAATGTTTTGATAACCGTTTTAAACGTTATGGTATACCTCAACAATTAGTAAGCGATTATTGTGTACAATTTCAATCAGATTTATTTGCGCATTGGAACTTTCATAATAGAGACACAGGTGCTTATCCATCCATAATGTTTATGAGGAGGAGTCTACAAAGCAAGTTAAGACATCGGATAGAGACGGTTATACAGGAAAAACAAAGAATAAAACTTGCAGCATCAGAATCGCAAAAAGGCGAAAGTTTGAAGGAGACTCACTAATAGGCTATAAAATGGTTGCTGGTCAGAATGTTATTCCACAAGGAAACCTCTCGGGCATAACAAAGAAGTCTTGAGAAAGTATATTGACCAGCTACGAGGATCATAAATGAATACTGAGTTATTACGCTGCGAAGGTTAACGGTTAGCCATGTGAGAATTAAACGTCATTATTAATTTACCGTTATCTTAGATCAGAGCATATGGTAAGATATATACCTATTTGGAAAGGGCAAACCATGCCTTAATTATGGCTGAGGGAGTTCCTTAATAAGTTGAGGTATCAGAATTGCAGCCACCGTCTATTCCTGCGTGATCGTAAAAATCGACAAAATGGGTTCGAATAACTTTATTCATCTCTTAGCTCCAGCAGGTGAGTTCGATTGACCCCTTGTGCTGACGCCCAAGGTTAGCCAAAATCACCTTTCATGTTTCGGCACCATGTGACCTAAATTGTGTTGGTTCGTTGTAAACCATACAAAACAAACATAGCACAATCCACCTTATCACGCAGCTGTATAATCATTTTAGAGCACGCATACAGTAAATGTGCTATCTAATTGAAGGTTATAAAATATCACTGAATGAATGACTGAATGAACTGTCATAAAAAGTCTAATGTGAGTTCAGCACAATGAGTCAATGGTGCCGTTTTGGTTTATGAATGAATTAATCTTTTAATCTTTATTTTAAAAGATAATGGACAAAAGCAGACAGACGGAAGGACGACAAAGAGACATAATATTTTAAGGCCGAAATTCTTATGAAGTGTCCATGCATAGAGAATTTTTTATAAAGTTTTATAATCTGTGTGGGGACAATGAATACAATCAAAGCACAGAAGGCGCTGAATTTGTTTGGGTCTCAGAATGTCAGAAAGGTGAAGGTTGTGAGATTATAAAACAATTTGTTTGTATAGTGTCACCAATGCTGTTTCCAGTGTTATAACTATAGTAAGACTAATTGCAACAATGCACTGATATTCAATTCAATAAAAAATAATAAAAAAAAGAAAAAAAGCGTTGCCTGATCTGGGATTTGAACTCCAGCCGCTTCCAAAGCGAGCGTGTAAATCCCTCGACCACGGGGAGCTATAAGATAGCAGCCTGAAGGATACCATATTATTCTAAATTAGAGTTTGTAACCCTTATTAATTTCGATATATTTTGTTCACGGTAAACCTGTTGTTTAACACTGAAGTAAATAATCATGGATGTATATCTATAAGAATAACACAATATTAGAAATCTTCGACGAATCGGGAACTATTTTTTCGTTACGAAAATTAATGCGCCTGTCATTTGACAATCTTTACGCAGTGACCACTCCTGAATTTTTCGGCGTTAATGTACATATGAAGGGAAATAACCGCTTCGAGGAGTTTGGACTACTTTCGGCATTTGCAAATAAGAACATCAGGCTCTGAAATTTCGCTACCATTATTTGTTTGGTCTGACGACCCAAACAAATAAAAACCCGGTATTTTACGACATGAAGACGTTTACATTTGGATCAAAGTTGGTCAAATATAGGTGAAAATTGTAGCTGTAGGATATTGCAAATTGCTTAATCGGTTTGATTTAGTCAGTTCATGAGGGATAAGTAATAGAAGGAGCATCGAAATACGAGGCTATCTTATTTGTACGAGATTGATGTTTTTTCTCTTTTATATGAAAGGCAAAATTAAAAACACGTTTTTTGTTGTAACAATATGACCCCCCCCCCCCCCCCCCACCCAGGAAAAAAGTAACCAATGAACGATCATCTGAATGTAACATTTCTATCGTTATTCCTTTCTCTGTCGTCACAAAACAGTTAACCCCAGAAGAAAGGCCAATCAATGGGCATGTTCTGTGTATAATGTATATACAATGCAACATATGTAATCATAGAACTCTCGTATGTGACAAATGTGATATGTAATAGATGTGCTCCTATAAAACAATGATGTTAATATTTCACATTTTAACTTGAACGCTAGTGACCATGATGGTTTCACCGAGACATTTGTATACTGCACGTAAGACCCTTTATTACTGTATGATTTATTTAATATATTTCGTTTTTTACATTTTTAGAATAACAGGAGAGCTTTAAGAAACACAAAGTCAATACTTACTTATAGGTAAATGGCTGCATATCGCTGAGTATTATTGTTCTATAAATAGAATCATCGGGAGGACAGTCAAACGATGAAGTAGTAGTAAAGATAGGTGGTGCTGTGATTTCTGGTGGCGCGGTGGTTACAGCATTTGTTATGGTTACCGGTGGCGCCGAGGTAACTAGGTGCGTGGTGGTATCTGCAGGTGTTGTGGTATCTTCTCCTCCTGTTGAAAATAAGAAACTGTTATTGTTTTTTTCTTCAAAATTTTTGGTGTGTACTAGACTACTAGTTAGTATAGGACTTTCATACAATAATGGAATTTCTTATCAGTTTAGTGCCAACATATATGCATTCAGTATGCATGTATTTATATGGAATTGATTCATAGAAAAAACTAATAGCTTAAGTCTCTGTCCTACTTTTTCGTCCGATGACCCAAATAGCGTTTTCCCAACTATTAAGTTGTGCTACTTATTTTCATACACATAAGTTTCACTGCATAGAAATGATATTTGTGAGCTTAAATATCTGAACATAGGGAAGGTAGTCCACTTCCTCATCATCATTATCATAATCATCATTAACAAAATATTAATGATCATCATCTTCTTCTTCATCATCATCACAATCATCATCAACAACAATAGCATCATTTTAATTATCATCATATTCATTTACAATAATCAAAGGGCTGCAAGCTCTGTGGTATTTTTTGACCTTTGCAATCTAAATTGTACTGTATATCCGTATGTATTTTCCTGTATAAGTTTATTTTATGTACTATAATTCATCTTACAGGGCACCGAGATGCAGCGACTGCATTTAGATTTTTTACTATAACAGCTTGAGTTTGATACATACGGAATTTTGCATAACTAGAGCTGCATCAAAAAATCATTTATGTCCATTATTTATAACAGCCACACGCTACCCTTGCATATCGTGGATCCTTCCTTAATAAGACAAATAAAAAAATAGTTGCCTCAACTGGGATTTGAACTCCAGACCTCTCACACCCTAAACGAGCGCGTTACCCATTCACCACGGGAAATTATATGAAGAATGTTTGAATAAAATCAGATAATTCTAAATTTAGAATTTCCATTTCGGGTTTGTAATCCTTATTAATTTCGAGGTATTTTGTTCACGATAAACCTGTTGTTTAACACTGATGTAAATGATTTAGCGAAAATCTTCTCGCCAAAACAGTCCGACATGTATATATTCCACTACTCGACAGTCAGATTTATTTGTGTACTACGCTCTGAAGTGTTCGGTAATCGACACCGCTAAAATAGCATTTTCATTGATTAAAATGATATTGATCCGCGTAATTTGTGATTGTGCATTTATCGACAATTCTATAAGCCAACGCTACTTTTAAACTTTAAATGCGTTGCAATTTGTTAAATAAAAATATTTCTTTCTTATACATTGCTAGTTTTAAGCTGTTTTGAGAACTACTTGTTGTTAGGTTTGTCGTGAAATCTATGTGCCAGAGATTGAATGTCAGCATTGTATTTACTGATCTTCGATCAAAACATACAAAAAATGTTAATCAAACACATGCAATCACATTTCTATGTTTTTGTTGTTGTTGTTGTTGTTGTTGTTGTTGTTGCTGATGCTGTTGTTGCCGTTGCTTATTATCAAAATCCAATGCGGTTGGTTATGTTCTCAACCTTAAATAATATGAAGCGGTGATTATGTATTATTATTAAAACTGATGTTGTTGTTAATGTTGCTTGTTTTCAATTTCTGTCTGATAAGAAAGTAAGTAAATAAGTTAGTATGTCGTCTGCAAACATAATTATATAAACATTTGTTTTGCGGTTGCTTTAAGGATAATTGTTACTGATTCTTCTTATACTATTAGATAAGAAATATTGCACTTACCTTCATACAAAACGTAATATGTTGATTTTTCCAGATCCCGTAGTCCATCAATAGAAATGATCACGTGATCATGTAACTGACACAGAAAACCAGGAAGATAAAAGAATGACACGCAGCCGCCGTCATCCAAACAGATCTTGCCACAATGGATTCGACTCCTAACTGATATTATTGATCCGTCCGGCGAAACTTTTCCATCAAATTCGAAGTTTCTGTTCCATTTTTTATCGGCGCAAGTTACTAAAAATACAATTTAATTATTGAATGCCATATTTATCATTCCTACAAGATTTATTATTATTATTATTATTATATTAGAATCATCATTATTATTATTATTATCATCATCATCATAATCATTGCCATCATTTATATCAAGAAAATAATATATTTCTAAAACGTTCATATATAAGTCTTTCATATAAATATTAAGTTAAAAATTCAAACCTAAATCTAAACAACAACATTTATTTAACAGTTTCTACTTACCAAATTTTACAAAATAAAAGAAGACAACAAAAAGCGATATTTTATAAAACGTATTAAAGTCTAATAAATCCATCCCACTCTGTAAAGAAATACATCCGATCTATCGGTAAGCTGCTAATGAGTTGATGCTTACGTGCATGGTAAGTGCTTGTTCTAATCGTTAGCAAAACAGTCCTTTACAGTTCACTAGCTTCATATAAAAGTGAATGCGGGTAAATGATCTGAATCCATGTTTTTGTTCGGTCTTACAAGCTTTTGCAGTTGTTTGCCCTGCTTACATACAAAAACACCGTAATTACGTGTTTCGTGTTGTTTGACTGTGTTACAGTAGAATGCTGGTAAAAAAATCTGATCTAGTACTAGACCGTCTTCCTCCGAAAGCAGAAAATTAATTTTCCGTAAGGAACTGTTTATTTCTCGGAAGTAATTGTCAGCTTCTAGAAACTAGCTGTCGATTCCCAGAAGCTAGCTGTCGCTTTCCTAAGGAAGCTAATAACTTCTCTAAACTAACTGTCAACTTCCAGAAACTGTCAACTTCCTGCCAATATATCATTCTGGTGCATAACAGATAACAAACTTATTGTGTGTACATGTACACACTTTGTAACTATTTTTTCTCCGTAACAGTATTGAAAGGGAGACATTTTTGTGCATTGACATCTGTAGAAGCACAAGAACCCTAAAGGCTCGGTAGATGTTACTGCACTGTTTTATGGCACGTTGAGTCGAGTCACGCATATAAAAATGCGCAAATATGCGTGCTCGCGTGCTTTTATCTGTTTATCATCTCAGTGAATGTATTGTTGCGTACGCAGTTTTTATACAAGAATAAAATTCTGCAATTTCCTTCAATTTCCGGTACATTTTGTGTGTTTATATTACCATAAGCAACTCAACGCTTTAACTACTTACCTAGCTCTTTAAATTTATGTAGACTTTAACAAACGTCATGATGAGACACCGCATGTTGAACAAAACAATATAAGCAAACACACACATGAATACTTGGTTAATGGGTTACGATTTTTTTAGAAAGAAAACATTGGAACTAGCATAATACTGCGATGAATCAAAATCAACATAATCACATTATTTCCTCCAATTGACAGCAAGACGTTGTTAAGCACATACTGACTCCCTGCAGCTATTCACGAAACGAACGAAACGAAACGAAACGAAACGTAAAATGCACCTAAGGGATAATACTCACTGACATGCCACAGACGCGCATTGCGTGAGCACATAATATCTATTGCGTTGAAACGTAATACCTTTTGCGTGTGCATGCTATAGCTATTGCGTGAGCACGTAATATAAATTGCATGCCTACGTAAAACTACCGCGTGAGCATGTATTGTCTTTTGCGTGGCCACCTAACACTCTCGCGTGCGGATGCGCTATAGCTATCGACTGCGCACGTAAAATCTAACGCGATGGCGTGTAATTGCTTTCGCGTGCGCAAGTAGTAAATATTTCCTATAAATTTTTTATGACACCATGCAATACACATTTAGAAGTGAAATTTACTAGAACTCGATCTAATTGATTCGATTTGCAATTAAGTGCACACGTGATAGGTATTATGTGGCCACGCGATACCTTTTGGTAATACCTTTTGGGTATCAACGTTTAACCTATCACGAGCAGACGTAATAACTATCACGTGACCTCGTATTAGTATCATGTTTGTACGTGCGTTCGCACGCAGTAAATAAAAGATTGTCTTTGTTCCCTTTGTGCCACTGTAGTACTGACTTTAATATATATTTACATGTATATCGGTAACATAATTTATGAAGAAGCACATACGTTTCGTCGCATTGTGTAAAAAGGAAAGCATAAGGAAAGGTACTTCAAGGTTCAAAATTACGTTCAAGGGCGGTTGTACATTTTACCTATAGTAATAATTGAGGGGAAGGTCGTGTCAATGAACTTATAATCTAAAAAAACATCTTAAGTGAAGCTATTTGGACGTTTTTGGGAAAATAATGTGATCAGGAATTAAGATGTTGGATAGATTACTTTATAAGCTTTTAAACTAACAACGCATGTTCATATATCCGGTTAAATTCAATCAAGAACCGAGAACTAATGTGTTGTTGTTGTTTTTGTATCCACTTAGGGATTACATTATTTTCCCAATTATCACTTCCAGTTTCTACAGGTTACTGTAAGGGTTAATGCAAAAAAATCAATTTTCTTAGAACAGTAATTGCCTTTCCTAGCGAAACAGTACATGTACTTTCTTTTTTGTATATATTACTCCCATCTCTTATACACTTACAAGACATGGACAATAAATATAATTAGAAAATAAACACTCGAGTTATGCTTAAACGTAAAATGAAGACATTGGAATCATCCCTACTGTAAATTTAAGGTGTAATTAAATGCAATATATAAAATATTAATAATTTTATTAATACATTCAGTCGTAAATACCCGCTACCCCTTTATCCAAACGACCTACATATATAAATACTGTGTGAGTAGATTTGTTGGACTGAGAAAATTGAGTAAGTTAGTCAGTTAGTGAAAGAGATAGTTAAAATGTTGGTCAGTTAATTAAGAAATTAGTTTCTGTACTTTAAGCTGTTATTTTGTATTGTTTATTCAAAAGGTTGATTGTACGGTTTTACCAGAATTATAATAGGTAATTCGATTTTTATATCGATTTCCTAATCAATAGCCTTTAAAAGAAAGACGTATCGTACCACATCTTCATGCCGTGAAATTGCCATTATAACAAATTTCCTTCTTGGCAAGGTAACATGGACATACTGGTAACACATCTTTTGTACAAACTCGTGTTTTTCTCGTGGTGTATACATTTAGGTGAGTGGATATTCCATTATAAGCTAAAAGTATTTGTTTTTGATCTTCTTACTGACAAGAATTTGGCAATTTATGCTCTTGTGTGTACGTGTGGTTCATGTAGGTAAAAACCAATTGATAAATGTTCATTTAATATATATATATATATATGTATATAAAAGCCGCATGCCTCCAAACAAGCAAAATCAAACAAAATATATTCCGGTTTTTTTTTTTTGTTGTTGTTGTTTTTGTTGTTGTTGTTTTGTTTTTTGTTTGTTTGTTTTTCATTTATATTTTGAGGTCGTTTGAAAGTGTGTGAATTGCATTCATAGTTTGCCAGAAAACACTGCTTTTAAATACATTTCAAATTTTCATGAATAATAGCATGAACCTAGAGGCATGCCGCTTAGAATAATTAAACAAGAATGGCAAAACGGAAAAAAACATATATGATACAATTTGTTTTAACTATAGTCTCTTTCTTTTCAAAATTGTCTCAATTCAAGTCACGTTTTTTTCTATGCTCCATTTCACAGTTTAATTGTTTGTGCACTTTAAGGTAGTTTCACTTTTCTATTCATACTCAAGAATGCTATTGATTTAACATGTATCTAAGTTGCCGTTTGTTGCAAAAATGAAAGTTTTGGTCCCGCATAATTTATATATCGTCGTGGAGGAAAAAGTTGCACTGGTTTGTTTGTTAATTAGTCTGTTTTTAAGTCGACTTTAATATCTAGGTGGATGGTCAGTCCATCTTAACGAGCTTTTCTGGATAAATTACCAGTAATTACCAGTAATTTCTCCGCAAGTGACCGGCTATTTATTCTACATGGATGAGAGGAGAGACACTTGACCATTAAGACTCAATGTAAGATTTCGCACAGGGATTTAACCAGCGACCAGAGTTATAACTTTATTCATGGAAATAAGTTTTGCTTTTTACTTTGAAGATTCAAAACATCAACTCACAGACAAGCTATAGAAACCGAAAGACACACTATATGAACATAAACGAGCGGAAATATATTTCTTGTTCATTGAATGTAATAAGAAAAGAATGCCACTTTTTACTTGCCTGCCCAAAGTATAAGAATTTAGAAGAAAAAAAAATATAATTGAAACCATAATTATTACTGCCATTTCTTTTTAAGTAACATCTCACAAAGACCATATATTGTTTGACCATGCTTATTTATTATGCTTTTTTTGTTAAGAGAAAAACTAGTATCTTTATATGTACTTAACAGTTTTATTTTACTTGTATTTTAACTGTATTTACCTGCATTTGAAGCAAAATGCCACCAGATTCATGCTTACTTTCATGCAAATTTGAAAGTATTTAAAAGTAAAATATTGTGAAGTGAACATAGAAAGTAATTAACATATTGAAAGCGGCACTAACAATCCACGTGAATAACCAAAAAGAGGTCAAAATATGAAAAAGCCCACACTGGTGTAGTTCCGAATTTGTGCATAGAAATTTAAGTTTTCATATCTAAAAAAAATAAGTAGACAAAGTAAGCAAAAAGCTCTCTTCTTACTTCTATGTTGATAAATCTATAAATTATGTGAATCAAAATGAAAACCAGGCCCGAAAAATAATAATAAAAAATCAACACTTAATCATCTGATATTTACGAAGACTTCTTTCACACTTTCAGGCCCCAAAAGCCCCCCTCCCCCCTTCCAAAATGTTATTATTTTCATTTCTGAAAAAAAAATCTTCTTTTTCTCCTTTACAATTTTGGACAAAAAGTACGGTCGCTGGCTATACAACCGAACTGTTTTTTTTTGTTTTTTTTAGATATACAAATTAAGTATATTGTATGGAAGTTAAAATACCATTTTGTTAACGTTTGGCTGACTTTATGACAAATTATTTCAAATTCAGTGCTACTAACTAACGGTGAATAAATACATTATTTAAACATGTTTACCCCTTCTAAAGAAGAAAACAATACTTAATGTGCCGTTAAAAAGAAAATGTACGTATATTGTATAAGAATACGACCAATTCTTTTTTCTTCTCTAATTTTAAACAAACTCAGCATTCGTATCTGAAAACAAATGGACAAGAGAGGCGACATTCGATGGAAAAGTGCCAATGTCCGGATTGACAATAACTTCCCGAAGTCTAATTCATTGTGGTAAGAAGTGTCTTCACAACAACTCCTGCGTGGCATTCTTCTTCGAAAGCGTTGACAATTTTAACTGTGAATTGCAGGACCATATACTAAGCTCTACTGATGGACTCAGTGATAAAAATGCAGTTACATATTATATTTTGTATGGAGGTAGGTTCGCTTTTTATATGTTTAATTAGAAAAAGTTAAAAAAACAACAACACATTTCTTTTTAATAACGTAAAACAATCGTGAGATATTAAAGGCACATGAAGTCTGAAATATGTTATTATTTTCATTTCTCAAAATATGTTTTATTCTTGGTGTCCTTTACAATTTTGAAATGAAGTACCGACTATGTCGTTGAACTGGCTTTTTTCTTCTTTTTCGTTTTGGCAATACTTTCAGTTATAGTGATTACGTTTATTGTATGGAAGTCAAAATACAATTTTATTTACATTGGGCTAACTTTATGAGAAATTATTTCACATTCAGTACTACTAACAAATGCATTTAACGCATCTCCTTAATAACATGCATATAATTAGAACGCGTTGTCCCTTTTAAAGAAGAAACACTTATTCATTTCTCAGGCATAATGTGCCTTTAATTAGATAGAATTTTCCCGGGTACAACTGTTTTAAAGTACATGTATAGTTAATTATAACTTTTTCAATATTTGATGTTTTCTAAATAAGCAACTTCCTCAACTCCTGCAGTCACTACTACTACATCAACAACGCCTGTGCCGACTACCACTACATCAACAACGCCTGTACCGATCACCACTACTACATCAACAACGCCTGTACCGACCACCACTACATCAACAACGCCTGTACCGACCACCACTACATCAACAACGACTGTACCGACCACTACTACACTAACAACGCCTGTACCGACAACAACTACATCAACAACGCCTGTACCGACCACCACTACATCAACAACGCCTGTTCCGACCACTACTACATCAACAACGCCTGTACCGACAACCACTACATCAACAACGCCTGTACCGACCACTACTACATCAACAACGCCTGTACCGATCACCACTACATCAACAACGCCTGTACCGACCACCACTACATCAACAACGCCTGTACCGACCACCACTACATCAACAACGCCTGTACCGACCACTACTACATCAACAACGCCTGTAACGACAACCACTACATCAACAACGCCTGTACCGACCACTACTACATCAACAACGCCTGTACCGATCACCACTACTACACTAACAACGCCTGTACCGACCACCACTACATCAACAACGCCTGTACCGACCACCACTACATCAACAACGCCTGTACCGACCACACTACTACATCAACAACGCCTGTACCGATCACCACTACTACATCAACAACGCCTGTACCGACCACCACTACATCAACAACGCCTGTACCGACCACCACTACATCAACAACGCCTGTACCGACCACCACTACATCAACAACGCCTGTAACGACAACCACTACATCAACAACGCCTGTACCGACCACCACTACATCAACAATGCCTGTACCGACCACTACTACATCAACAACGCCTGTACCGACAACCACTACATCAACAACGCCTGTGTCGACCACCACTACATCAATAACGCCTGTACCGACCACCACTACATCAACAACGCCTGTGCCGACAACCACTACATCAACAACGCCTGTACCGACCACCACTACATCAACAACGCCTGTGCCGACAACCACTACATCAACAACGCCTGTGCCGACCACTACTACATCAACAACGCCTGTACCGACCACCACTACATCAACAACGCCTGTGCCGACCACCACTACATCAACAACGACTGTACCGACCACTACTACATCAACAACGCCTGTACCGACCACTACTACATCAACAACGCCTGTACCGATCACTACTACACATCAACAACGCCTGTGCCGACCACCACGACATCAACAACGCCTGTACCGACCACTACTACATCAACAATGCCTGTACCGACCACCACTTCATCAACAACGTCGTAACGACCACAA